CTAACCACAATAACAATAGACCTATATAAAAAAAATTTTTATAGCCTTATTACAAGAAACAAAAAGAGATTTACACAAATGAAAGAATATACGATGTTTGTGGATTGGAAGACTCAATATTGTAAAAAATGTGAATAATACCTAAAGCAATCTACAAATACAATGCAAGCCTGATCCAAATCCCACCAGCATTCTTCAAAGAAATGGAAAAACGGATTACTGACTTCAGATGGAGAAGGGAGCAGCTCAGGGTAGGCAAAGAGCTCCTCAAAAAGAACAAAATAGGTGGTCTTGTACTTCCTGACCTCAAGACCTGATACTATACAGTCACAGTTGTCAAAAAAAGCCTGGCACTGGTATAATGGGAGCTAAATGGACCAATGGAACAGGACAGAAAACCCAGAAATAAAAAACACCTGATTACAGACAACTGATTTTAGACAAAGGCCCCCAAAAATATTAACTGGGAAGCAGATGCCCTCTTCAATAAATGGTTTTGGAAAAATTGTATATCCACCTGCAGAAAAATGAAACAAGACCCAATATCTCACTCCATGCACAAAAACAAACTCAAAGTGGATCAAAGACTTAGATGTAAAACTCAAAGTCAACAGGATCATCAATGAGAAAATTGGGACAAATCTAGGAGTCCCACTGCAGGGAATACATGGACTGTCAGAAATAACAAGGGAGACAGCTGCCCCTCTCCCCAGAAGAATTTATTTCAGAGGACAGCACTGAAGCTGCAGCTCAGGGAGAGGGGCATGTCTGATCAGAGCACATGGGAGCAAATGAAAGGGGAGGAAGAGAGAGTGGAACACATCCTAACCCACCAAGCCTTGACGATGATATTGCCACTCAGAGCTGCCAATCCACAGAGAAGCCCATATGGCAGGCCCCACTCTGAGACATGGCATCCCTCACTGACCCATAGCCCTACAGGGGACAACACTGGAGAGACAGTGTGGGAATTGTGCCTGATCTGATCCCACAACACTGAGGCAAAACACTAAGAGTGTGCAACAGAACAGCAAGGGGAACAGAGCAA